TAGAGTAACAATACCACAGGCAGCCGGCTTTTAAATGCTGACCTTAACAGTCACTGAGCCGCGCCCCAAGGAACCTACCCATCACGTGATATGACCATGTCACCTCATAGCCAGTGGAAAGTTACAGGGGGTGATATGCTTATATAAACCCAATGTACTGCCCTGACATGTTCACACTATTGATGAAGATTCTTACTCACATTACATACAAATTAGACAAGTATAGACAACTCACTACATAGAAAGGAATCGAGAAATAATTTACAAAATCTAAAATATATAAAATAACCATGTAAAAATATACTTAATATTACATACCTCACAATGACAACAAAAGTAAAACAACTTGCATGTTAAAGAATACGTACACTAAAAAATCTATTTACAATATCTGTCCGTCTGGCATGACCTCCAGCCACATTGTCTCTGTGGTCTACCCCCTAGGGGTAGCCTGTTCTGGATGGCTATGTTGTGGAGGACAACACTGGCCAAGATGATGTCTTGTGTGGTCATCAGTTTGGTCCTGATGGTTGTAGACAACTGCGAATTGTTGTTTCAAGACACCGAAGGCCCTTTCAATACAGTTTCGGGTCTTGATATGAGCTGTATTGAAGTGTCGCTCTTTTTCAGTTCTTGGATTAGTGATGGGATATAACTCTGGCACGGATACCCACTGTCATCCACAAGGAACCCACGGTAATGACCCTCCTGAAGAGTCTGGCACAGATTTGACTCGTTAAATATTCGCGAGTCGTGTGCGCTGCCAGCCCAGTTTACCACCAAATTAGTAATGGCAAGTGAAGCAGAACACACAGCCATCACATTGTAGGCAAAGTAATCTTTGAGACGGCAATACAGCTCGGAATCATCACCGCCAGGTCCTCTGATGGGGATGAGGGTATCATCAATGCAACCAATACAGCCTGGCATGTTCACAATGACAGAGAACTCCTGCATGGCAGTACTCTCCTCTGCTGGGGTAGGGAACTGAATGTATCGTGGTGCAATTGTGGTGATGGCACGGGTAACCCTTTTGATTGTTTGACAAACGCTTGCCTGTTACATATCTGCCGAGTCTCCAACAGTCAGCTGCAAATCACCTGATGTCAGGTAACGGAGTGCAACCAATAACTGCCGTCTTGGTGAGATACGGAGACCTAGAAAAGTATTTGTACAAATTAGTTTTGGATAAATTATGGTCTGAAATTATACACTGTTTTCCTTATACAGTGGTTAAACTGATACTCAAATGAAACATGCCTGGGAACTACCTGGCACTGGTTACCTGGCATATTTGAACTTATTAAAATATGAAATTTAGGCTACTAAGTATTTATACTAATGAACTAATTATTTTGGTAGTGCTGGACGGTAATTAATTGTGCTCATTACGAAAATTGGGTCGCTATTACTTCTGATAAGGGACGTTATTCATCCCAGACAGAGCAGTTCTTACCACTCTGCAAATAGACCACTTACGACTTTTTTTTTTTAGCTTAATTTGATTTCCATACATTTCTACATAGATTAATTGGATTAGTTATCTTAAAGGCTTACCTTTTATGGTGGTTAGAAGAATTTGGAGGATATAAGCGGCGATGAGACAAGTAGAGCCTGCCGGATGTTCCTACACAAACATGGAATTCTTTTAAAAAGAACAATACAGTTCTTCATGTGCTGTTCTATATGGAGGATATCTTATAAAAAATATTATTCCTTTGCAGATTTATACATTTTATGTGCATCCAATTCAATTTGCTTTCTTTTGGTTTCAAAATATAGTTCCATCGTAGTGGTCATCGGGCAGGGGTACGAGTACCACAGAAATCTCCCACATTCCAATAACAAATCGTATTTTTTTTTTTTTGCCCAGAACGCTTCTTGCACAACAACCATGGGGCTACTACAGCATGGTATACACCACGAAGCTTCTTGCAATTGGCCCTGAATTTCAGCAGCCATTTCTTCGACCATTCTTGGAGCTCACAGAGATCCTTCTGCAGCTCTTCACAGTCCGCATGGTTCTTTCCCGAAATAACTTGGCGTCATTGGCAAACATATGTACGGAGGAGTGTACAACGTCAGGCATGTCATTTATGAAACAAACAAACAACAGCGGGCCCAATACACTGCCCTGTGGTACCCCGCTTGTGACAGGTACAAATGAGGATTTCGTGCCATTGATCACCAAACACTGCTTGCGGTCATGTAGAAAGTTTTCTATCCACGCTAGGATATTTCCCCAAATTCCGTACCCTTCCAGTTTGATTTTCAGCCTTTCGTGGGGTACACTGTCGAAAGCTTTGGCCAAATCTAGGTATATATTGTCGATATTACCACCCCGTTCCAGAATATGGGTCCAAATATCCAATACATTGAGCAGTTGTGTTAAGCAGGAGCACCCCGGCATAAAACCGTGTTGGCAATCCTTTACAAGGTTGTTTCGTAGTAGATGTTCCTTCGCGGCATCTCTGATAATACTCTCAAGTACTTTACATATTATGCTGGTCAGGCTCACCGGTCTATAATTGTTCGTGGGGTAACGATCGCCCTTCTTGAAGATAGGACTCACATAAGCCACTTTCCAATCACTGGGGACCTTTTGTTCATCCAGGCATTTATTTACAGCACTTCAACAACGAATGTCTGTGAGCATGTAACAAGGTTAGTAATTACAATAGTCCAACAGCATTATAAAAATGAGATATAGAACACTGGGTCAGGCTAATAAGGGTCGTAAACCAATAATTATACCCTTCCCCAAACTTTGATCCGTATTCAGTATGGAACGCTGTACAGTATTAATAAAATGTTTTCGTGCTGAAATCGTTTATCGGTGTTTGTGTCAAAATTACTTAATTTTGTTTTTTTGGTAAAGAATTTCCAATCAAATCAAATCAAAGGCTGTACAGTATATAATAGATAATAAGTTAACAGCGATAAAAAGAGTTTGCCTTCAAAATCATCGTTTTCTTTTTATTAATCTGATTGAGTAAGTTTTCTATCAACAACAACAACAGTGATGTAGTTTACAGGGGAACTATTCTGGAATTGCCTCTTGCACAAATGGTTGTTCCTTTGACATTTACTAAGTAAAATCGCCATACAAGGTCACATTTTTTCAGTGTAGGTATACAAATAATGGTAAACTGTAAGTCCATTCTAACTAGAGTAGCCCGAAAAATCCATTATGAGCTTATTTCCGTGGGTTGGACAAACTAATCAGTGAAATTAAATCTACAGAAATAGTTATACCCTCTATAAAATTGTTGCTAATGTCACACTTCATGAAAATGGCTTTTAAAATATCCTACGTGAATACAAGATGGAAGACCACAGTTAGTCAGAGGTGTTCAGCAGTCAGACTGGGCACTGTTTGGGGGCTTCATTATAAGTTAGGCCTATTCCAGCCCACTAGTACTAATAATTGGGCCCATTCCACCCCACTTGCACTGACAGTTAGGGTATATTCAATCTCACTAACAATGATAGTTGGGGCTCATTCCACCCCACTAGTAATGATAATTGGGGCCTGTGTCACCCAACTAACAATGATAGTCGGGGCCCATTCCTCCCCACTATTATAGTACTGATAGTCATCTATGACCTATGCATTTGTCGCCAGGTTTCTTCCTTTTTGAGAAGAAACATTCATCTGATCATTTCCTGGTATGTCAACTGTGCCATCCATAATGATACCATTAGATAATAGAGAAAAAAAGAAACCGTGCCAATAACATCCCCGTCCTATCCCCTTATGTACGTGTCGTTGGCTTAGAATAAATGGGATTTAAAAATATGGGTAGAACCTGAATATCTTTCGAAGATTTAATTTTCTTTTTTAAGTTGAGAAAGGGAGTTCATAATGATGGCCTGTACTGTAGAGGCTGTAGGGGGCCATGTGCCACGGTACAAGGCACAATGATCAGTCCTACACTGATATAACCAACCTGTGTGATCGCCTCCCATATATATGATAGAATTAATTAGAAGTAATAGTAGTTGGCATTTATATAAGATACAGGTATACCAAAACTGAATACAAATATTAAAATTAAGAAGTTTTCTTCAAAAACAACCCTAAACCAACACCAACACCAAACCGCCAAATCTGGGAACACTGCACGTGACTGCGTACCAAATTGTCTTCCTTGGAACATTTTGAAATATAATATTAATAAGTAAATCAATATAACCTTTCAGCATACGAGTTTTACAATACAACAATAATTCAGTCTAGCATATAACATTATATATATATATATATATATATATATATATATATATATATATATATATATATATATATATATATATATATATATATATATAACTCGATTGCATCTGTCAAATTCTGTGTTCTAAGTACATTTTTTTTAAATACCGACAGTGCGATGGCACTACTGTACAATTTTATTCTACAATAATACATTAGGTACAGTAATCACTAACCCGTTTGTAATTGGAGGGAGGAGTCAGCGTGTAGTAGGCAGCTATCAAACAGGGAGGTACTACCGCCTGGGAAAATATTGGAAGCATAATGTATTGTCTAATGGTAGACCCTGCTGCCATATGGCATCACAAAAATTGTGACAGGTTGCTGATCTGACTTTCTGCCTCACTTACACAATTGTAGGGTCTCAATTGTTTCTCTTACTGATGATGATGATGATGAGATGAAGAGAAGAGAGCCGTTTGCTCTGGAAAATGAAGACGGTGTAGGAGGAAGGTAAAGTTAGGAAGTGGGAGATTTAGATAGTAGGTGGGCTCCACTTTATGACAACACAACATACATATATCGTTTCTCGCTATTGATCTTTTTTATTTTGTATTTATGGTATCTATCATTATTATTATTATTATATATTTCTATTTAATATTTTGTATTAATTTTTTTTATTATTACATTATTTTATTATTATTATTATTATTATTATTATTATTATTATTATTATTATTATTATTATTATTATTATTATTATTATTATAATTTTGCCCCAGGCACTGATGTGCCTTGGTGGGCTAATCCTTTAAAAAAAAAAAAAGGTGTTGAGCAAGGTATGATAAGGATGGTGGAATAAGTGTATCGCGCGTTTTTAAATCAACCCCCCCCTTCCCCTTTCCTCGAAGACCCCGCAGAACCTTGGAGGGTTAAAGGGTTTGTAAGCCCTGCCTGTACTCTTGGCTGGGTAGTCTTCCTCGGGTGGTGGTTGGTGTGCCTGAACAGAGTTAGTTTACATACATGGCGCTAAACTCAAGAATGTACAATGAATTACACCGACTTCCACCCAGCGAGGACAAGCCCTATAACTCCCAGAGAACGGGAGTATTTAGTACAGTTAATTGGCGAGGAAAAAATACTGAAAAATAAGGACACGAATGGTAAGGCATCGTCATTAAAGAGGGAAGCTTGGATACGCATTACATCCAAGTTCAACGCCGAGGCTTATGGACCTGAGCGATCTGATCTACAAATACGAAAGATCTGGGAACGTCTTAAAATAAAGTAAGTTCAACCATTTGTGGTGAAATAGGTAATGTTGAATATGGTGCAAATGACTACACTCTGTGACAAGCAAACTTTCTCATCCCAACCTCCTGCAACCCCCAGAGTGCCAGACTTAAAGTTGTTCGATTTCGTTCATTTTTTCCACAAATGTTCTTATCATTATAATAAGTATTTTAAACGAGGCGAGAATTTTTTTATAATGTTATTAATTCGGTCATCCAGCAAATTTTAGATTGGGTTAGGTTAGGTTGAAATTATGCTTTAACGATGAATATCGATGTGTTTTGAACGATTCTGACCATTTCCTTCGCAAATTACAATTGTGATTTTCTACTGTAACTTCCAAATAGGTGGATGACCGAAACGATAATTTTACCTTTATTTTAGGGTAGTGGATATTTTGCTATGATCGGCTAAGTTCATACTAATGTTATTTTACCGTGAGTGGGTTTTGATTGGTTTTGTACTTTCTGTTTAATGTGACGGGGTGTCCGCCCCCGGCTAGGACAATAGGGAAAGTTAGGTAGGTATCTTTGGTTGGTTAGGTCAGGTTCTATTACGTTCTAGTAAATGTCGCCTCTTTTATAATGATAAGTTTCCATGCACAACACAAATATAGTTAGGTATGTTTACAGCTACACAACGATCGACTCACGGCACATTAAATGCCAAATGCTGCCAGAATCACAGTTAAATATAGTTCTTGTGTTGTTTGTCGATAAAAAATACTTCAAATAAAAAGCTGTTGCCTCTTTTAAAATACTTACTATAATGGTAAGAACATTTGTAGAAAACATAAACAAAATCAAAAAGCTCTTCTGATGTTCATCGTCTCCTTCAGTATTACCGTTGCTTTTATTGGTACCAGATATCAAAGTACAATACCTGTAAACTACCTTCTGTTTAATATGCCGGGTGTTCTGAACCCCCAGCGAGGAATTTAGGTAATGTTAGGTAGGTTTCTTTGGTTGGTAAGGTCAGGTTCTGTGCATTGTTGAATCATTTTTATTGTTTACTATCATCCAAAGAACATCTGTGGAAAAAATGAACGAAATCGAACAATGCAGTAATCTTGGAGGAGATGGCTAACGCTTTGAGGGATTCTGACTAACGGAGATATTACTGTATCTTAGAGAAATATCATAAGGTAAGCTTATTTCCCACAGTCATTACCATATTTTCTTTCATGCCACTAGGTGGATTGATCATTTTAGATCAAGTTTTGAGGTTCCTTTGCATATATTTAATTTTTAATACCCGAAGGTGGATCAGACATTAGCTAGGTCTGGTTATTAAGGTTTCTTTGTATATATACCTGTACTTACGTCTGTTACAGCGAGGCAGAGTATGTCATTAGTTAGGTAGGATTATCAAAGTCTACTTGCATTCTACATTATCGTATTTTACGGCATTTAAGACGCACTTTTTTGTCTGAAAAATGGCTCGGCAAATCAGCCTGCATCCTATATGTGAAGTTGAGGTCTCCCGTAAGCTAATGAATCCCCCAGTTACTGTCTCCACAAGGCTAAATTCTACCTAACCCACCTTGCTAAATTCTACCTAACCCACCTCTAGAATTATAAATATGATATTGCCTACTTAACACATTATTATTATTTTTGATTAATTAAAAAATAATTATTGTAAATATAAAAGCTCGATTTATAACTACTCAGTACTATAGTAAACCCTCAATAACTAGGCACATATGGGGCTCTGGCTTTGCCAAGTTATCCCAAATTCTGATTTATCGAGGCACTTTTCCCCTCCTATAAAAATACTACAATAAAAAATTATCGTCCCATATATGTGTACATGTACAGTAATTACTAAATGTAAAAAAGTAACACTTACCAGCACTGCAGGTGAAGATTGAAGTATCATAGTAGGAGACAGATGCATGGTAGGTGACATAGAGGTATGGTAGATGACACAGAGGTATAGTAGGTGATGCAGGTGGCCAGATATGCCGGGATTTTCCCAGATAATTTTATATATATCCGCATTTCCCGAGATATACTAATACATTCCGAGACCATATTCATGCCGAGTTATACGAAATTCCGAGTTATCAAATGTCGAGTTATCGAGGGTTTACTGAACTGATGATGATAACCTGAAATTATTAACATCCTTACAGCAAACATGAAACTTTAGAGAGGTGGCTAAGCAGTAACCATATTTGAACTCTTACAAGCATTACAATCTATTAATGCCAAACCTATAACATTTATTTTTAACTCTACAAATACCTGATACAAATAATGATTTACTTACAACTTTCTTTTTACTTTTGTGTGTGTTAACATCGCTGGCAGCATTATAACCAGGTTAGACTCGTCACTATATCCACCAGGCCACTGGTGTTATGGTTGTTTTTCATCTTGTATTTTTGGATAGATATACGTAACTTTCTTCGTTTATTTTTACTCAGTTACATGCACACACCATCCTACATACATATTGTGAAAAAGTAAAAGAAATAATTGTCCTAAGGGGAAACATGTAAAGGGATTATACATTTCTTTACACACGTGTTAGCTGGCTAGCTCGGGGGGGGTAGCGGGTGGAGGCGAGACGTGGGGGGAGCATTGCTACGGAATCGGCAGAGGCGGCGTCTGCGTGGTACTGGTGAGCCACGGACTGTATATGCAAATGGCGACTGTGTTAAACTATCATTTGAATTTTATTTACTGGTTTGACAATACAGTATTATATATATTTATTCCTCACATTTACTGGTACTGTATACAGTAAATTATTTTAAGAAAACTATGGCTACAGGAGGAAAATACACACACAAGTCTTTTTCCTAAATATTCCCTGCTGAAATGGGGGGTGCATCTTATATGCTGTGAAATACAGTAAGTTAGGTCAAGGCTCCTAAGGTTCATTTGGCATTAAGTTTATTATGGTGATTATAGTACAGTATTTATAATAATTTAACCCCTCACTTTTCATTCGGCTTCAAAGCTCTCTCCACTTACGGGGTATCCATATATGTTGGGTGTTACTCTATTTTAAATTGGGTGATTTTTTTGTAAGAAAACAGTTTCTAAAGTACAGGGTTTCATTACATAAGCATATTTTTCAGAGCAAAGAAAGTTAAAGCATCAAACAAGCAGGAAACCATGAAGATGGATGATGGCACTCCTCCTCAAGAAGAGGATGAGGAAACTAACAAGGTTTTCAACATAATAGCAGACGAACTTGGAGATTTTGGAAACGAGTTTGATTCTGATGCAAGAGAATGTAAGTACTGTTTTGTTAAAGTTACTGTTACAACCCAACTCTTTTCACCGCTTACCCAGCTTCCACCACTGTTTACCAGTGGCTAGGGTCCTATGTACAAAGCAGTAGATATCTCAATAGAGTTGTCGAATTACCAGTGGCTGTTCCACCAGTCTCCGATAATTTCCCGACGATCAGTATTAGTGTACAGACAAACAACAGGCAGGTCGATTTCCACCAGGTCACAGAAACACACTTGTGTGCTGTAGTCTTTAATAAACAGTAATTTTTCACAACATTGTTAACAGGGTAATGTCTTCACAGCTTAACCCCACACTTCAAATATATAGTCAGCACACTATCAGTTTACAATTCCTTAGTCTTCTCACTTTATATTAATCACAACAATTCCACAATACTTGCACCACAATTGTCTTCAGTTGTTCTGCTAGGCTTAGTCTTTACACTTGGAACTGAGATGAGCAACTAACTAACTCCTAGGCAGGCCATGGCCCCTTATATATGGTTCGTCAGATGCCTAGAACATTCTAGCGATGTCCAGAGCGGGAGATCGGCTTGAGACCCGCCTGGACAATTCTAGAATGATCTAGGCTTACAATAAGAAGTAAATCAGAACAAAAAATGATGCAATACATTAATATATACACAAAATTTGTATTAAACTTACCAAAATAACTGCTGCATGGGACAGAAAACAATCAAAACACCTAGTTTGCAAGATTATAATATAAAATTATTCCTCGACATAACATTATTTAGAGGATTTACAGTACAGTGTCACTGTCATATATTACGGTACTTCCTGGGAAACAACACGATCTAACTAATGTCTCTTCTCTTTACAGCTGGGGAGCATGAACTAACAATAAGAATTAAGGAGGCTCAGTTAAGAGAAATTGAATTGGGCATTAAATTAAAAGTCGAAGCACTCAAAAATACTGATTTGGAAAGAAAAGTGCTGGAGGCAAAATTAGTGGCTTTTAGGAAAATGGCAGATGCAGCAGATGAGGTCAAGAGCGCAGCTACCATTGTGCAGGCGGCAGCTTTTAAATCCATAGATTGATAAATTGTGATAATTAATTGTTGTACTGTGGGATGTCTTTAAACTATCACTTGTACATATAGTATAGTGTTCTTGTAAGTTTTGGATGCCTCAGAACTTCATACGGTATATTCCATACATATTTTCCCTACCTAATTTCCTTTACTTTGATGAAGGAATCCCACTGTACTATAATGTGAATTGGTTATGTCTTTGTGGGGTGCCAGGAGTACGAGAGTGTTATAAGGGGTTGATGCTAGTGAAGGGGAAGGGGGGTAAACCAAGAAGATGATTTTTCAAGAACATCATATGGTGGACGATTTTTGATGGTATGATGATCTTCTGTTGAATCAGGATGTGGCTGTGTGGAGGTCCTTTTTCTTTGTTACTTTTGAAGTATGACTACTTGTAATGTATTTAGATAATCCAAATATTTTATCTAAACTTCACATAAATTACAATAATGGACTGTACAGTATCTCCAAAATTATATTATTCCTAGGTTTCATGGCACCAAGTTTACATTCCCTTGATTTGCTACTTTCTATAATATTTTCATAGATATTACCATCTAGTCAGTATTTTGTATTAAAACTTAAACTATTCCTTTTATTGTATAATATATTTGTTTTAATAATTTACAGCAATATGTTGTTTCCACCCCACCACCACCAAAAAAAGACATTTATAACAGGATGTACAGGAAAAAATGCTTCCTATTCTGCATAAGTGACTTTCACTCAATCTATTATTTGGTAATTGTATTGCAGTACTGAATTCATTTTTACCCTGATTTTCATAATCTAATCTAGTGAAGTGTACATATAGTTTATGGTGATATACATGTGCTATACCTTTCAGCTTAGATACTGAATTTGTATGCCTAACAGTATAGAGCTTTAATTATAGACAAGAGTTTGGAAATGAAAAATGTACTGAAAAATAATGTATCCTTTACAAATGTACAAGTTAGGTTAGGTTAAGTTATAATACAGTATTTTGTGAATCATGTTTTTATGCAATTTCATCTACTATACTCAAATTACTGTAATCTGTATTCAATAGCCAGATTGTGGAGGACAGCAGCTACCACTATTTTTTTTTCGTGTTTCTTAGACACCCTTTTCAACATTCCAAATGTCCATTCATTGTATCCGTGGTGGCCACAACCATGAATAGTGCAAATATGATAATAGGTAGCTGCGGCAAGGGTAATCACAATCACCCAGTATAGTTGGCCTTCATGTAGTCCATCTTCTAGTGCCTGGCAAAGGTGACTGTTGTCAAAGATAGTGCTATCATGTGTTGCCAGGCCTTTGTGCTACAATTTTGTAAAGTTTTAACTATGGTCCACAAACTGCCGAACATTTAAAGAATTTTTTGTTTTCTGTTTTGAAACACCTCAGGCCGAGCACATGTTGACATATCTATGGCTACGTGAGCACAGTCAGTGCACCCAATAACTCCAGGCCATTGCAACAAATTCTTCCATTGTAGTGATACTTTCCTAACCAGAAGGGGAACTTGATCATTCCATCACTCGTGCTGCCTTTGAAGTATGCCACTCTTAAAACACATCTGTTGACATATGACTTTGAGACATCAAAACAATGAGAGACCAAGTTGATTGTTGCCTGTAGCAAAAGTGGTGGTACGGGGTAACCTGTTCAATTAAATTGTTCTTATAAATACCCCTGTACTGTACAGTGAAAAAAAAATATATTGCACTGATTTCCATACTTTTCATTCTGGAATACAGGATGAAATGTTTAGAAAACCCGAGTATGCCAACGCAACACATACCATGAATGGCAGAGGTATTTGCTCATTCCCAATTCCAATGGACCCCAGGGGCACCATAATTTTTTTGTTGACTGTACAGAAGGCCATGTCAAGTTGTCAAAAATATACTATACGATGTTACACTGTACAACAGACCTCTTCAGACATTGGTGTGATTGTCCATACCATTAACTATGATTAACAATGAATGTGTTATTTATTGTAGACTGCAATTATTGAAGAACTTATTAGTTTTACAAGAATACAATATTTTTTTTTAACTGATTTCATTACTAGATGTGTATTGTAACTCAGAATAGTGACTTAGCAAGAAATGCAATGTTGAAGCTAAGAAAGTCTAAACTTGTTTTCCTTGGGCTCATAATAAGTGTTTGCCCTAATTAATTCAACAAGGTAAAGAGATCCAGTGTAATATTTTAAATGCTTTTTTTGTGTCTGGTGCATTCTTTGCTCAAGCTAAACCTCTTCAGTCACAGCTTGAAATGTGTTGCCTCAGTCAACTGCTGTAAAACCTGTCATAACCCCTAAGATACTAAGCCTGTCAATCGATATATTCCCAGTAGGGTACTAACCATGTCGATCGATGTGGGGCGTGTTCTGGTTTTGCTTTCAAATTGCGTGCCTTTATTTTGTCGGAATACAAAGCCTTGTGGCTACTAAATTGAGGAAAATTATTTGTAATGCTGTACAGGCATCCCCCAGGTTACAGAATTTTGCCCTGTGGTGGCCACAAGGTGGTTTGAAGGCTGCTCACCTCCCCAGTTGCTCACCATCTCAATGGAGCTGCTCAGTTATAATTCTTTCCCCAGTTTGTGTTCAGTTATGAGCCTGTGTTACTGTGTACCCTTATTCAAGATAAGTGGAAAAAGACCACCAAGTTCAAGTGAAAGCAGTGGTGATAAAAGGTTCCATAAAGTAATTGCATTGGACATTAAACTTGATGTTTAAAGGAGGTAACTCCCAGTAACTTTGATCCCACAATCTTACCTCACCACCTCCTGCAGCACTCAACATTGTTTCTGGTAAATATAATTCTGGTGTTTTGTTCATTTATTATCATGTTACATCATAACGAGTCATTGTATTTGGTTAAAATCATCCAATTTCATACATATATGTGCTTGTGTTACATTTTTGTGCCACAAAACATTTCCTTAGGAACGCATCGCAAATTTTATAATGGAAGTCAATGGGAAAAATGGTTTCTCGTTATGGAAAGATTTTTCCGGAATGGAACCCCTCCTTAACCTGGGGGATGCCTGTAGCTGTATACTCACCACCACCTTCCCCAGGTACCTCCCCCCCTCCCTCCATTATCCCTCAGTAATTTCATGACTGCCATGTTGTGTTGAGGCTGCTACACCTCTGCTCATCTCCTCTGACACATTTTTTTGTGTCTTCATGTTCCTACACATTTCTTCTTAACTATTAGGGTGGTACTGGGTGAACCGGTCCACTGCTGTATTGGCATATAAATAGTAGCATCTCTTTAGCCGAATCCCTCAAACACAGAACTCTCCAATAGCCGGAATTGAAATTTGCTCTGAATTTTTCTGGAAAATTCTCTGAATTCTGGGTTTGGGAACAAATGCATTTTCTGAAAATTTCAAGAAAATTCTGGAAAATTAAAAAAAAAAATTATTTCTGGGAATAAATTTTCAGGGCATTCTAAAATATTGCATCATGCTCCAACCCATCCCCACATGCCAGGCACATGGATGACCCAGCGGCTTGGATTGCTTAGTTCAAGGTTGTTCACTCGCTAGCGGCTGTTTTCGTGTACAACTTGTGTTGTGTAGTGCAGTACATTATTGTACCAGAACAAAATCAGCCAAGAATACAGTGTTAAGAACATAAAAAGTGATTGCAGATACGTATACTATACTGCACATTCAGTACGTGGGAAACACTGGAGCACCTTACCATTCGTCTCTATTCAAAACATCTTCAGGTAATGATACCCGCTGATCCCCCACCCTGACAATGGGTGACCTGATATTGCATCAGGTCAGGTCAGTAGCATTACCCACTCGTCTCCCACCCAACCTTCATCGCAATTGTTAAGAAATTATTACAGTTAAGCATTACAGTCAGCTGCATGAACAGTGTTTGCTGGTGAGTACAGTACAGTAGTATACATTTTTTTGTTTACAGTATGAGCAATATTGTACGTGTACAGTGGTGTTTGCGTAAATAAATACAGCTCTGTGAGTTAAATTGTTTAGACTCGTGGAAAATTTCCTGTGAAGCGTGGAAAATAACCCGAGTTGATAAACATTCGTACAGCAGACACCCAACTCGTCAGACGTAGCTAAGCAGTAACCATTTCTGAACTCTTACAATGCCATACCTGCAACATTTATTTGTAAATCTACAAATACCTGATACAAATGAAGATTTACATAAAACTTTCTTTTCACATTTGTCTGTCAATATCGTTTAGTTGGGTCAACAGTGATGGTTGTCCTGAGAGCTGTGTATGGTTGACAAAACAAAAGGTACACCAAGGAGTTGCCAAGCAGTAAGCTGTATATTTGAATCAAAGTTCACTTCTGTGATTAAATAGACTAAAACGTTGTGAATAGAGTAATTTACTCACTCTTCCGCTAACCATGATGGTGATGAGTGAATGAGACGTGGTGAATAGGTATATTAGCCTTGTGATTTATTTTTGGGTGCAAGGCAACTATCAAACGGAGGTACTACCGCCTGGGAAGATGTTGGGAGCATAATGAATTGTCTAATGGTACACCCTGCTGCCATATGGCTTCATAAAAATTGTGACCACGTCCCAGGTTGCCGATCTGACTTTCTGCCTCGTTACACACAATTGTAGGGTCTCGTTTGTTTCTCTTACCATTGACAACACTACATACATACTGTATATCGTTTCTCACTCTTGATTTATTTTTTATTTTTTTGTATTAATTTATGGTTATTATTATTTTTTACTAAGTTTTATTAATTATTATTAGTAGTAGTAGTATTAGTATTATATTTTTGCCCCCAGGCCCTGATGTGAATCAATGACATGTGCCTGGGTGGGCTAATTCCCCATAAAAGAAGTGTACGTACAGTATTAATTTTGTGAAGTTTCATTCTGTGTATAGGATGGCAGTTATGTAATATATAAGTGTGCAGCTACCAGTTATTATTCAACCCTTACAGGAATTCAGTTGACTAACATAAATTTTGTCTGTTGGTGAGGTGGGGCCATTTCACCTCGCTACGTATATACAGTATATATTCGAATGTAGATTTTTCTGATACTGCAGAATAACAGTATGGGGTTTGCAAAATCAAATATTCTATATGGAAGATATTTGTGCATTGGTTTGTTAGTTGATCTAATCACACATCGAGTGAATCTTTGTTGCAAAGGGCATACCCCTTCCTAAAATAGTACAGCACCTATAATCTGATTTTCAACAAAATCTAATTTTTGGGCCAAAACTGTCGAAAAGGTAAGCCTTACCCCTTGGTAATATTTGACCAAACTATACTTTTTTCACAGAAATGAAATTTAAGAGGTTTAACTAATTAAGTACTTTCAGAATAACACACAAACCCTAAATCATACCCTGGAAACCTGTAGTGGACGTCTCCCCTACAACTGCGTATCCGCATTCCAATGCGACAGTATCCTAGCAACCAAACGAGAGGCCTGGGGGGGGGGGCATCACCAGATGCCACAGTATCCTAGCAACCAGCCACCTGCTACGTCTTCCCTAGCAACGGAGTCGAGAAACCGGCGAGTTCCCACGGGTTTACTTCCGGTTGCTGTGTATATAAGCTCTGTCTCTCCATTAAGATTCATTCTGGCCTCGGTTCCTGAACACGTAACACCTCCTCCGCCGCTGCCTGGCGGCCCTCGCTTCTCCGCCTGCCTGGCGGTCCTCGCTCCCGCCGGCGAGCATGGCGACCCACCAGCTGTCCTTCTCTCAGCGTCCTCACCAACCAGCTCTCTTATTCTACTCTACATTCCTGAACACGCAGCAACACCTCCAAGCAAGCTCCTCGCTGTCCAGCTCTCATTCAACCTGGAGGCCAGCAACAGGCAACATCTCCTCTAACGAAGCTCCTGCACATCTACCTCCTTCAGCACGCTACTCACCGAACGTGTCTACTGAGCAGCTCCTCACCACACGGCATCTCCAGCACCAGACTGTCTTTCATATAATTTATATTATATAAGAAAACCACCACCTAGAGTTCCATCAATCCCATCCTGAGTGCTAGACAACATAATATCACGAAACCCTACAAATGGTGACTCCCGGAGATTCGCACTCACACAGGATGAAAGAGAAACTGATCACGCTCCCAGTCTTCAAGCAGCATAGAAGACTGGCTTATCCACACAGAAGCAGCTCTCATCGGCTTTACAACTACTGTCTCTACACCGCAGGTTAGACACCCTAGAGCAGCTCTGCTACTCTAAGCAGACACCAGCTACTCTTCCTGCCCCAAGCACCACGTCCTACCGACCCCAGCACACCCGTCCTGCCTCAGACGCCGACCCCGGCCCAGCAGTAACCCCTGCCGCCCCTGATGCGGTCTCTGTTCCTGAGTGCGGACCCACACACCCCTCTTTTCTCCCTCAGGTACTCCCTGCTAATGTCCTGCACCCTGCTGTTGTCGTGGACCCAGCTGCTGTCACGAGCCCTCATCCGCTTCTGCTGACGCAGCCCCTGCTCCTGACCCAGGCCCACACACCCCAGCAGGCGCATCTGACGACTCTGTACCTGCCATGAGGGAAGCACAACATTCATCGCCTCCACACACCCTTTTTCTCCCTCTCTTCTCCCACAGATAGTGTGTATATAGACAGTTGTATCCAGCGACAGGCTCATCCACGCCATCGCCGTTGTCTCACATGAGGCATGCACCGCCCGTTCTGCCTCACATGTGCTAAGCAACTCTGCAGACAACAAGTCTCCTACACCGCCTGGAGGGAAGGGGGAGTATTGTAGTGGACGTCTCCCCTACAACTGCGTATCCGCATTCCAATGCGACAGTATCCTAGCAACCAAACGAGCGGCCCAGGGGGGGGGGCGTCACCAGATGCCACAGTATCCTAGCAACCAGCCACCTGCTACGTCTTCCCTAGCAACGGAGTCAAGAAACCGGCGAGTTCCCACGGATTTACTTCCGGCTGCTGTGTATATAAGCTCTGTCTCTCCATTGAGATTCATTCTGGCCTCGGTTCCTGAACACGCAACACCTCCTCCTCCGCCGCTGCGGCGGCCCTCGCTTCTCCTCCGCCTGCCTGGCGGTCCTCGCTCCCGCCGGCGAGCATGGCGACCCACCAGCTGTCCTTCTCTGAGCGTCCTCACCAACCAGCTCTCTTATTCTACTCTACGTTCCTGAACACGCAACACCTCCTCCAAGAAAGCTCTCATTCAACCTGGAGGCCAGCAACAGGCAACATCTCCTCTAACGAAGCTCCTGCACATCTACCTCCTTCAGCACGCTACTCACCGAACGTGTCTACTGAGCAGCTCCTCACCACACGGCATCTCCAGCACCAGACTGTCTTTCATATAATTTATATTATATAAGAAAACCACCACCTAGAGTTTCCATCCATCCATCCTGAGTGCTAGACAACATAATATCACGTAACCCTACAAACCCATAGTTGTTGAGTAATTAGCTTTGAAAATTTTCAGTAAAATCTTTCAAGGATCATTTTGGCCACTAATTAGTCTGCAATCGAATCGTGGACCAGATATTCATAATCAGCAAGCTCAGGAGTACCCATACTGTGATTTTCAGCAAAATCAAATTTTTGCCCAAGAAGGTAAGTCTTACACCTTACAAAATTTTTGACCAAATATACTTTTTTCTCAGAATTGAAATTTAAGGGGTGTAACTAAATAAGTACTTTCAGAATAACACACAAACCCTAAACACCTTGGAAACCCATAGTCAATGAGTAATTAGCATGAAAAATGTTAGTAAAATGTTTCAAGAGTCATTTTGGTCACTAATTACTCTGTAATCAAATCATGGACCACATATTCATAATTAGCAAACTCAGGAGTACACATACTGTGAATTTCAGCAAAATCTATTTTTGGGGCAAAAACCACCAAAAATATAAATTTTACACCTTACAAAATTTTAGACCAAAATATACTTTTATCTCTAAATAGTGAAGACTAACTGCTGCCAAGGGACCTCCCACAGGCAAAGGTGCTCCTAGGTGTCCTCCTTAAGGTCAGCAGTGCCACCAGAGGCTCTACCAGGGTTGGTGGCACCGCCAGGGGACCTTCCAGTTTCAGTGCCCCCAGGGGTCATCCTAGGGACGGCTGGGGCCCTCCAAGAGACGGTGACACCGTCAGGCGTTCTCCCAGGAGCGGTGGCGCTCCCACGGGAAGCTGCTCCCCCAGGGGTCCTCCCTCAGTGACCTTTCCAGTGGCGGCAAAGCCCCCAGGGTCTCAGCGCTCCTAGGAGCTCTCCTGGGCCTTTTCAGGGGCGGTGGCGCCCCCAAGGACCCTCCCTGGGGAAGTGGCACCCCAAGGGGCCCTACCAGGGGCAATGGCGCACCCAGGGGCCGTCACAGGGCGACGGCGCTCCCAGGGGCTTGATCGTGATGTCGTTCATATTGCATACGTCCATCAATCTCTTACTTAACCGTGATTGGTGGATTAAAATAAAAAACACCAAATTACAGCCAATAGGAAAACAGACCAGCCAGTCAGCACAACACCCCAACTTATGTTTTCCTGTTGGATATGTATTCACCTTTTCATTGCCCAGGATGCGATCACACGGGAAATACAATGGGCGGTGCATTTATTTAATGTCATATCTGTCGGAGTTCTAAATAGAGAAAACTAACTGCTGCCAGGAGACCTCCCAGAGGCAAAGGCGCTCCTTAAGGTCAGCAGTGCCACCAGAGGATCTACCAGGGACGGTGGCGCCGTCGGGGGACCTTCCAGTCGTGGTGCCCCCAGTGGTCATCCTAGGGACGGCTGGGGCCCTCCAAAGGGCGGTGGCCCCGCCAGGCGTTATCCCAGGGGAAACAGCTCCCCCAGGGGCCCTCCCAAGGTCAAGTGCTCCCTCTAGGACCCTTCTAGTGCCGGCAAAGCTTCCAGGAGCCCTCCCTGGGGCCTCAGCGCCCCTAGGAGCTCTCCCAGGGGTGTTGGTAACTCCAGAGGCCTTTCCAGGGGCAGTGGCACCGCCAGGGACCCTCCCTGGGGTGGTGGCACCCAAAAGGGCCCAGCCAGAGGCTATGTCGCCCCCAGGGGTTGTCTCAGGGCGACAGCGCTCCCAGGGGCCTGATCATAATGTCGTACATATTGCATATGTCCAGCAATCCCTTACTTAACTGTGATTGGTGGAATAAAAGAAAAATGCACCAAATTACAGCCAATAGGAAAACAGACCAGCCAGTCAGCACAACACCCCAACTTATGTTTTCCTGTTGGATATGTATTCACCTTTTCATTGCCCAGGATGCGATCACACGGGAAATACAATGGGCGGTGCATGTATATAATGTCGTATCTGACAGAGTTCTAAATAGAGAAAAGTTACGGCCGCCAGGAGACCTCCCAGAGGCAAAGGCCCTCCTAAAGGTCCTCCTTAAGGTCAGCAGTGCCACCAGAGGCTCTACCAGGGATGGTGGCGCCGCCAGGGGACCTTACAGTTTTGGTGCCCCCAGGGGTCATCCTAGGGACGGCTGGGGCCCTCCAAGAGACGGTTGCACCGCCAGGCGTTCTCCCTGGTGCGGTGGCGCCTCCAGGGACCCTCCCACGGGTCCTCCCAAGGGCATCTCCTCCCTCAGGGACCCATTCAATGGTGGCAAAGCCTCCAGGGGTCCTCCCTGGGGCCTCAGCACTCCTAGGAGCTCTCCCAGGGGTGGTGGTGCCTCCTGGGCCTTTTCAAGGGTGGTCGCGCCCCCAGGGACCCTCCCTGGGGCGGTGGCACCCCAAGGGGCCGTGCCAGGGGCAATGGCACACCCAGGGGCCATCACAGGGCGACGGCGCTCCCAGGGGCTTGATCATACTGTCGTTCATATTGCATACGTCCATCAATCCCTTACTTAGCTGTGATTGGTGGATTAAAATAAAAAACACACCAAATTTCAGCCAATAGGAGAACAGAGTAGCCAGTCAGCACAACACCCCAACTTATGTTTTCCTGTTGGATATTTATTCAACCGTTTCATTGTTCAGGATGCGATCATACTGGAAATGTGATGGGTGGTGTATTTATTTAACGTCTTATCTCTCAGAGTTCTAAATAGTGAAAAACCAACTGCCACTAGGGGGCCTCCCAGAGGCAATGGCACTCCTAGCAATCCTCCTTAAGGTCAGCATGGCCACCTCAGGCTCTTCCGTGGGCAATGGCGCCGCCAGCGGACCTTCCAGTGGCGGTGACCCCAGTGGTCATCCTAGGGACAGCGGGTCCCTCCAAGAGGCGGTGCCACATCCAGGCGTTCTCCCAGCAGTGGTGGTACCCAAGAGCCCTCCAAGGGAGAGCTGCTCCCCCATCGGCCGTCCCAAGAGCAGCTGCTTCCTCAGGGACTCTTTCACTGACAAAAAAGCCCCCAGGGACCATCCCTGGGACCTCAGCACACCTAGGAGCTCTCCCATGGGTGTTGGTCCTTTCGGTGGGCTTTTCAAGGGTGGGGGACCCCCCAGGGACCCTCCCTGGGATGGGGCACCCCAAGCGGCCATGCCAGGTGCAATGGCGCCCCGAGGGGCCGTCACAGAGCGACGGCGCTCCCAGGGGCTTGATCGTGATGTCATTCATATTGCATGCGTCCAGCAATCCCTTACTTAAGCGTGATTGGTGGATTTAAATAAAAAAACACCAAATTACAGCCAATAGGAGAACAGACTATCCAGTCAGCACAACACCCCAACTTATGTTTTCCTGTTGGTTATTTATTCACCATTTCATTGTTCAGGATGAGATCATACTGAAATGTGATGGGTGGTGTATTTATTTAACGGCATACCTCTCAGAGTACTAAATAGTGAAAAACCAATTGCCACCAGGGTGCCTCCCAGAGGCAACGACGCTCCTAGCGGTCCTCCTTGAGTTCCGCATTGCCACCTTAGGCTCTTCCAGGGACAGTGGCGCCGCCAGGGGACCTTACAGTAGTGGTGCCCCCAGGGGTCATCCTAGGGACAGCGGAGATCTCCAAGAGGCGTGGCACATCCAGGCATTCTCCCAGGAGCGGTCGTGCCCCAGGGGCCCTCGCAGGGAGACCTGCTCCTCCAGGTGCCTTCCCAAGGGAAGCTACTCTTTTATGGACTCTTCCAGTATCGAAAAAGCCCCAGGGGCCCTCCCTGGGGCCTGAGCTCTCCTAGGAGCTCTCCAAGGGGTGTTGGTGCCTCCTGGGCCTTTTCAGGGGCGGTTGCGCCCCCAGGAACCCTCCCTGGGGCGGTGGCACCCCAAGGGGCCCTGCTTGGGGCGATGGCGCCCCCAGGGGCTGTCACAGGGTGACGGTGCTCTCAGGCGCTTGATCGTGATGTCGTTCATATTGCATACGTCCATCAATCCCCTACTTAACTGTGATTGGTGGATTAAAATAAAAAACACACCAAATTACAGCCAATAAGAGAACAGACCTGCCAGTCAGCACAACACCCCAACTTATGTTTTCCTGTTGGATATGTATTCACCTTTTTATTGCTCAGGATGCGAACATACTGGAAATGCGATGGGCGGTGTATTTATTCAACGTCATATCACTCAGAGTTCTAAATAGTGAAAACTAACTGCCGCCAGGGGACCTCCCAGAGGCAAAGGCGCAACTAGGAGTCTTCCTTAAGGTCAGCAGTGCCACCAGAAACTCTACCAGGGACGGTAGCGCCGTCAGGGGACCTTCCAATGGTGGTGCCCCTAGTGGTCATCCTAGGGACGGCTGGGGCCCTCCATGGGGCGGTGGCACTGCCAGACGTTCTCCCAGGAGCGATGGCGCTCCCAGGGACCCTCCCAGGGGAAACTGCTCCCCCAGGGGCCCTCCCAAGGGCAGCTCCTCCCTCAGGATCGCTTCCAGTGCCGGCAAAGCTTCCAGGGGCCCTCCCTGGGGCCTCAGCACCCCTAGGAGCTGTCCCAGGGGCGTTGGTGCCTCCAGATTCCTTTCCAGGGGTGGTGGCGCCCCCAGGGACGCTCCCTGGGGTGGTGGCACCCAAAGGGGCCCAGCCAGAGGCTATGGCGCCCCCAGGGGTTGTCCCAGGGCGACGGCGCTCCCAGGGGCCTGATCGTAATGTCGTACATATTGCATACGTAAAGCAATCCCTTACTTAACTGTGATTGGTGGAATAAAAGAAAAATGCGCCAAATTACAGCCAATAGGAGAACAGACCAGCCAGTCAGCACAACACCTCAACTTATGTTTTCCTGTTGGATATTTATTCAACCGTTTCATTGTTCAGGATGCGATCATACTGGAAATGTGCTGGGTTGTGTATTTATTTAACGTCTTATCTCTCAGAGTTCTAAATAGTGAAAAACCAACTGCCACTAGGGGGCCTCCCAGAGGCAATGGCGCTCCTAGCAATCCTCCTTAAGGTCAGCATGGCCACCTCAGGCTCTTCCAGGGACAATGGCGCCGCCAGCTGACCTTCTAGTGGCGGTGCCCCCAGTGGTCATCCTAGGGACAGCGGGTCCCTCCAAGAGGCGGTGGCACATCCAGGCGTTCTCCCAGCAGCGGTGGTACCCAAGAGCCCTCCAAGGGAGAGCTGCACTCCCATCGGCCCTCCCAAGAGCAGCTGCTTCCTCAGGGACTCTTTCACTGACAGAAAAGCCCCCAGGGCCCATCTCTGGGACCTCAGCACACCTAGGAGCTCTCCCATGGGTGTTGGTCCTTCCAGTGGCCTTTTCAGGGGCGGAGGCGCCCCCAGGGACCCTCCCTGGGATGGGGCACCCCAAGAGGCCATGCCAGGTGCAATGGCGCCCCGAGGGGCCGTCACAGAGCGACGGCGCTCCCAGGGGTTGATCGTGATGTCGTACATATTGCATACGTCCAGCAATCCCTTACTTAACTGTGATTGGTGGAATAAAAGAAAAATGCACCAAATTACAGCCAATAGGAAAACAGACCAGCCAGTCAGCACAACACCCCAACTTATATTTTCCTGTTGGATATTTATTCAACCGTTTCATTGTTCAGGATGCGATCATACTGAAATGTGATGGGTGGTGTATTTATTTAACGGCATACCTCTCAGAGTTCTAAATAGTGAAAAACCAATTGCCACCAGGATGCCTCCCAGAGGCAACGACGCTCCTAGCGGTCCTCCTTGAGTTCAGCAGTGCCACCTTAGGCTCTTCCAGGGACAGTGGCGCCGCCAGGGGACCTTACAGTAGTGGTGCCCCCAGGGGTCATCCTAGGGACAGCGGAGATCTCCAAGAGGCGTGGCACATCCAGGCGTTCTCCCAGGAGCGGTCGTGCCCCAGGGGCCCTCGCAGGGAGACCTGCTCCCCCAGGTGCCTTGCCAAGGGAAGCTACTCTTTTATGGACTCTTCCAGTATCGAAAAAGCCCCAGGGGCCCTCCCTGGGGCCTGAGCTCTCCTAGAAGCTCTCCAAGGGGTGTTGGTGCCTCCTGGGCCTTTTCAGGGGCGGTTGCGCCCCCAGGAACCCTCCCTGGGGCGGTTGCGGCCCTAGGGACCCTCCCTGGGGCAGTGGCACCCCAAGGGGCCCTGCTTGGGGCGATGGCGCCCCCAGGGGCCGTCACAGGGCGACGGTGCTCTCAGGCGCTTGATCGTGATGTCGTTCATATTGCATACGTCCATCAATCCCCTACTTAACTGTGATTGGTGGATTAAAATAAAAAACACACCAAATTACAGCCAATAAGAGAACAGACCTGCCAGTCAGCACAACACCCCAACTTATGTTTTCCTGTTGGATATGTATTCACCTTTTCATTGCTCAGGATGCGAACATACTGGAAATGCGATGGGCGGTGTATTTATTCAACGTCATATCACTCAGAGTTCTAAATAGTGAAAACTAACTGCCGCCAGGGGACCTCCCAGAGGCAAAGGCGCAACTAGGAGTCTTCCTTAAGGTCAGCAGTGCCACCAGAAACTCTACCAGGGACGGTGGCGCCGTCAAGGGACCTTCCAATGGTGGTGCCCCTAGTGGTCATCCTAGGGATGGCTGGGGCCCTCCATGAGGCGGTGGCACTGCCAGACGTTCTCCCAGGAGCGATGGCGCTCCCAGGGACCCTCCCAGGGGAAACTGCTCCCCCAGGGGCCCTCCCAAGGGCAGCTCCTCCCTCAGGGATGCTTCCAGTGCCGGCAAAGCTTCCAGGGGCCCTCCCTGGGGCCTCAGCACCCCTAGGAGCTGTCCCAGGGGCGTTGGTACCTCCAGATTCCTTTTCAGGGGTGGTGGCGCCCCCAGGGACGCCCCCTGGGGTAGTGGCACCCAAAGGGGCCCAGCCAGAGGCTATGGCGCCCCCAGGGGTTGTCCCAGGGTAACGGCGCTCCCAGGGGCCTGATCGTAATGTCGTACATATTGCATACGTAAAGCAATCCCTTACCTAACTGTGATTGGTGGAATAAAAGAAAAATGCGCCAAATTACAGCCAATAGGAGAACAGACCAGCCAGTCAGCACAACACCTCAACTTATGTTTTCCTGTTGGATATTTATTCAACCGTTTCATTGTTCAGGATGCGATCATACTGGAAATGTGCTGGGTTGTGTATTTATTTAACGTCTTATCTCTCAGAGTTCTAAATAGTGGAAAACCAACTGCCACCAGGGGGCCTCCCAGAGGCACCGGCGCTCCTAGCCATCCTCCTTAAGGTCAGCATTGCCACCTGAGGCTCTTCCAGGGACAATGGCGCCGCCAGCTGACCTTCTAGTGGCGGTGCCCCCAGTGGTCATCCTAGGGACAGCGGGTCCCTCCAAGAGGCAGTGGCACATCCAGGCGTTCTCCCAGCAGCGATGGTACCCAAGAGCCCTCCAAGGGAGAGCTGCACTCCCATCGGCCCTCCCAAGAGCAGCTGCTTCCTCAGGGATTCTTTCACTGACAGAAAAGCCCCCAGGGCCCATCTCTGGGACCTCAGCACACCTAGGAGCTCTCCCATGGGTGTTGGTCCTTCCAGTGGCCTTTTCAGGGGCGGAGGCGCCCCCAGGGACCTTCCCTGGGATGGGGCACCCGAAGAGGCCATGCCAGGTGCAATGGCGCCCCGAGGGGCCGTCACAGAGCGACGGCGCTCCCAGGGGTTGATCGTGATGTCGTTCATATTGCATACGTCCAGCAATCCCTTAGTTAACCATGATTGGTGGATTAAAATAAAAAAAACACCAAATTACAGCCAATAGGAGAACAGACTATCCAGTCAGCACAACACCCCAACTTATGTTTTCCTGTTGGATATTTATTCAACCGTTTCATTGTTCAGGATGCGATCATACTGGAAATGTGATGGGTGGTGTATTTATTTAACGTCTTATCTCTCAGAGTTCTAAATAGTGAAAAACCAACTGCCACTAGGGGGCCTCCCAGAGGCAATGGCGCTCCTAGCAATCCTCCTTAAGGTCAGCATGGCCACCTCAGGCTCTTCCATGGGCAATGGCGCCGCCAGCGGGCCTTCCAGTGGCGGTGACCCCAGTGGTCATCCTAGGGACAGCGGGTCCCTCCAAGAGGCGGTGCCACATCCAGGCGTTCTCCCAGCAGTGGTGGTACCCAAGAGCCCTCCAAGGGAGAGCTGCTCCCCCATCGGCCGTCCCAAGAGCAGCTGCTTCCTCAGGGACTCTTTCACTGGCAAAAAAGCCCCCAGGGACCATCCCTGGGACCTCAGCACACCTAGGAGCTCTCCCATGGGTGTTGGTCCTTTCGGTGGGCTTTTCAAGGGCGGGGGTGCCCCCAGGGACCCTCCCTGGGATGGGGCACCCCAAGCGGCCATGCCAGGTGCAATGGCGCCCCGAGGGGCCGTCACAGAGCGACGGCGCTCCCAGGGGTTGGTCGTGATGTCGTTCATATTGCATACGTCCAGCAATCCCTTACTTAACCGTGATTGGTGGATTAAAATAAAAAAACACCAAATTACAGCCAATAGGAGAACAGACTATCCAGTCAGCACAACACCACAACTTATGTTTTCCTGTTGGATATTTATTCAACCGTTTCATTGTTCAGGATGCGATCATACTGGAAATGTGATGGGTGGTGTATTTATTTAACGTCTTATCTCTCAGAGTTCTAAATAGTGGAAAACCAATTGCCACCAGCGGGCCTCCCAGAGGCAACGACGCTCCTAGCGGTCCTCCTTGAGTTCAGCAGTGCCACCTTAGGCTCTTCCAGGGACAGTGGCGCCGCCAGGGGACCTTACAGTAGTGGTGCCCCCAGGGGTCATCCTAGGGACAGCGGAGATCTCCAAGAGGCGTGGCACATCCAGGCGTTCTCCCAGGAGCGGTCGTGCCCCAGGGGCCTTCGCAGGGAAACCTGCTCCCCCAGGTGCCTTCCCAAGGGAAGCTACTATTTTATGGACTCTTCCAGTATCGAAAAAGCCCCAGGGGCCCTTCTGGGGCCTGAGCTCTCCTAGGAGCTCTCCAAGGGGTGTTGGTGCCTCCTGGGCCTTTTCAGGGGCGGTTGCGCCCCCAGGAACCCTCCCTGGGGCGGTTGCGGCCCTAGGGACCCTCCCTGGGGCAGTGGCACCCCAAGGGGCCCTGCTTGGGGCGATGGCGCCCCCAGGGGCCGTCACAGGGCGACGGTGCTCTCAGGCGCTTGTTCGTGATGTCGTTCATATTGCATACGTCCAGCAATCTCTTACTTAACTGTGATTGGTGGATTAAAATAAAAAACACACCACATTACAGCCAATAAGAGAACAGACCTGCCAGTCAGCACAACACCCCAACTTATGTTTTCCTGTTGGATATGTATTCACCTTTTCATTGCTCAGGATGCGAACATACTGGAAATGCGATGGGAGGTGTATTTATTCAACGTCATATCACTCAGAGTTCTAAATAGTGAAAACTAACTGCCGCCAGGGGACCTCCCAGAGGCAAAGGCGCAACTAGGAGTCTTCCTTAAGGTCAGTAGTGCCACCAGAAACTCTACCAGGGACGGTGGCGCCGTCAGGGGACCTTCCAATTGTGGTGCCCCTAGTGGTCATCCTAGGGACGGCTGGGGCCCTCCATGAGGCGGTGGCACTGCCAGACGTTCTCCCAGGAGCGATGGCGCTCCCAGGGACCCTCCCAGGGGAAACTGCTCCCCCAGGGGCCCTCCCAAGGGCAGCTCCTCACTCAGGGACGCTTCCAGTGCCGACAAAACTTCCAGGGGCCCTCCCTGGGGCCTCAGCACACCTAGGAGCTGTCCCAGGGGCGTTGGTGCCTCCAGATTCCTTTCCAGGGGTGGTGGCGCCCCCAGGGACGCTCCCTGGGGTGGTGGCACCCAAAGAGGCCCAGCCAGAGGCTATGGCGCCCCCAGGGGTTGTCCCAGGGCGACGGCGCTCCCAGGGGCCTGATCGTAATGTCCTACATATTGCATACGTAAAGCAATCCCTTACTTAACTGTGATTGGTGGAATAAAAGAAAAATGAGCCAAATTACAGCCAATAGGAGAACAGACCAGCCAGTCAGCACAACACCCCAACTTATGTTTTCCTGTTGGATATTTATTCAACCGTTTCATTGTTCAGGATGCGATCATACTGGAAATGTACTGGGTTGTGTATTTATTTAACGTCTTATCTCTCAGAGTTCTAAATAGTGGAAAACCAACTGCCACCAGGGGGCCTCCCAGAGGCAACGGCGCTCCTAGCAATCCTCCTTAAGGTCAGCATTGCCACCTGAGGCTCTTCCAGGGACAATGGCGCCGCCAGCTGACCTTCCAGTGGCGGTGCCCCCAGTGGTCATCCTAGGGACAGCGGGTCCCTCCAAGAGACCGTGGCACATCCAGGCGTTCTCCAAGCAGCGGTGGTACCCAAGAGCCCTCCAAGGGAGAGCTGCACTCCCATCGGCCCTCCCAAGAGCAGCTGCTTCCTCAGGGACTCTTTCACTGACAGAAAAGCCCCCAGGGCCCATCTCTGGGACCTCAGCACACCTAGGAGCTCTCCCATGGGTGTTGGTCCTTCCAGTGGCCTTTTCAGGGGCGGAGGCGCCCCCAGGGACCCTCCCTGGGATGGGGCACCCCAAGAGGCCATGCCAGGTGCAATGGCGCCCCGAGGGGCCGTCACAGAGCGACGGCGCTCCCAGGGGTTGATCGTGATGTCGTTCATATTGCATACGTCCAGCAATCCCTTACTTAACCGTGATTGGTGGATTAAAATAAAAAAAACACCAAATTACAGCCAATAGGAGAACAGATTATCCAGTCAGCACAACACCCCAACTTATGTTTTCCTGTTGGATATTTATTCAACCGTTTCATTGTTCAGGATGCGATCATACTGGAAATGTGATGGGTGGTGTATTTATTTAACGTCTTATCTCTCAGAGTTCTAAATAGTGGAAAACCAATTGCCACCAGCGGGCCTCCCAGAGGCAACGACGCTCCTAGCGGTCCTCCTTGAGGTCAGCAGTGCCACCTGAGGCTCTATCAGGGACAGTGGCGCCGCCAGGGGATCTTACAGTGGCGGTGCCCCCAGGGGTCATCCTAGGGACAGCAGAGATCTCCAAGAGGCGTGGCACATCCAGGCGTTCTCCCAGGAGCGGTCGTGCCCCAGGGGCCCTCCCTGGGTCCTCAGCTCTCCTAGGAGCTCTCCCAGGGGTGTTGGTGCCTCCTGGGCATTTTTAGGGGCGGTTGCGCCCCCAGGGACCCTCCCTGGGGCGGTGGCACCCCAAGGGGCCCTGCATGGGGCGATGGCGCCCCCAGGGGCCGTCACAGGGCGAAAGTGCTCCCAGGGGCTTGATCGTGATGTTGTTCATAGTGAATACGTCCATCAATCCCGTACTTAACTGTAATTGGTGGATTAAAATAGAAAACACAAGAAATTACAGGCCATAGGAGAACAGACCTGACAGTCAGCATAACACCCCAACCTATGTTTTCCTGTTTGATATGTATTCATCTTTTCATTGCTCAGGATGTGATCGGACTAGAAATGTGATGGGAGGTGTATTTATTTAACGTCATATCTGTCAGAGTTTTAAATAGAGAAAACTAACTGCCGCCAGGAGACCTCCCAGAGGCAAAGGCCCTCCTAAAGGTCCTCCTTAGGGTCAGCAGTGCCACCAGAGGCTCTACCAGGGACGGTGGTGCCCCCATTGGTCATCCTAGGGATGGTTCGGTCCCTCCAAGGGGCGGTGGTTTCGCCAGGCGTTCTCTCAGGGCAAACAGCTCCCCCAGGGCCCCTCCCAAAGTCAACTGCTACCTCTAGGACCCTTCTAGTGCCGGCAAAGCTTCCAGGAGCCCTCCCTGGGGCCTCAGCACCCCTAGGAGCTCTCCCAGGTTCGTTGGTAACTCCAAAGGCCTTTCCAGGGGCAGTGGCACCGCCAGGGACCCTCCCTGGGGCGGTGGCACTAAAAGGGGTCCAGCCAGAGGCTATGTCGCCCCCAGGGGCTGTCCCAGGGCGACAGCACTCACAGGGGTCTGATCATAATGTCTTACATATTGCATAAGTCAGGCAATCCCTTACTTAACTGTGATTGGTGGAATAAAAGAAAAATGCACCAAATTACAGCCAATAGGAGAACAGACCAGCCAGTCAGCACAACACCCCAACTTATGTTTTCCTGTTGGATATTTATTCACCATTTCATTGTTCAGCATGTGATCATACTGGAAATGTGATGTGTGGTGTATTTATGTAACGTCATATCTCTCAGAGTTCTAAATAGTGAAAACTAACTGCCGCCAGGGGACCTCCCAGAGGCAAAGGCGCAACTAGGAGTCCTCCTTAAGGTCACCAGTGCCACCAGAAGCTCTACCAGGGACGGTGGCGCCGTCAGGGGACCTTCCAATGGTGGTGCCCCTAGTGGTCATCCTAGGGACGGCTGGGGCCCTCCAAGAGGCGGCGGCACTGCCAGACGTTCTCCCAGGAGCGGTGGTGCTCCCAGGGACCCTCCCAGGGGAAACCGCTCCCCCAGGGACCCTCCCAAGGGCAGCTCCTCCCTCAGGGACACTTTCAGTGCCGGCAAAGCTTTCAGGCGCCTTCCCTGGGGCCTCAGCACCCCTAAGAGCTGTCCCAGGGGCGTTGGTGCCTCCAGATTCCTTTCCAGGGGTGGTGGCGCCCCCAGGGACGCTCCCTGGGGTGGTGGCACCCAAAGAGGCCCAGCCAGAGGCTATGGCGCCCCCAGGGGTTGTCCCAGGCCGACGGCGCTACCAGGGGCCTGATCGTAATGTCGTACATATTGCATACGTAAAGCAATCCCTTACTTAACTGTGATTGGTGGAATAAAAGAAAAATGCGCCAAATTACAGCCAATAGGAGAACAGACCAGCCAGTCAGCACAACACCCCAACCTATGTTTTCCTGTTGGATATTTATTCAACCGTTTCATTGTTCAGAATGCGATCATACTGGAAATGTGCTGGGTTGTGTATTTATTTAACGTCTTATCTCTCAGAGTTCTAAATAGTGGAAAACCAACTGCCACCAGGGAGCCTCCCAGAGGCAACGGCGCTCCTAGCAATCCTCCTTAAGGTCAGCATTGCCACCTGAGGCTCTTCCAGGGACAATGGCGCCGCCAGCTGACCTTCTAGTGGCGGTGCCCCCAGTGGTCATCCTAGGGACAGCGGGTCCCTCCAAGAGACCGTGGCACATCCAGGCGTTCTCCCAGCAGCGGTGGTACCCAAGAGCCCTCCAAGGGAGAGCTGCACTCCCATCGGCCCTCCCAAGAGCAGCTGCTTCCTCAGGGACTCTTTCACTGACAGAAAAGCCCCCAGGGCCCATCTCTGGGACCTCAGCACACCTAGGAGCTCTCCCATGGGTGTTGGTCCTTCCAGTGGCCTTTTCAGGGGCGGAGGCGCCCCCAGGGACCCTCCCTGGGATGGGGCACCCCAAGAGGCCATGCCAGGTGCAATGGCGCCCCGAGGGCCGTCACAGAGCGACGGCCCCAGGGTTGATCGTGATGTCGTTCATATTGCATACGTCCAGCAATCCCTTACTTAACCGTGATTGGTGGATTAAAATAAAAAACACCAAATTACAGCCAATAGAGAACAGATTATCCAGTCAGCACAACACCCCAACTTATATTTTTCCTGTTGGATATTTATTCAACCGTTTCATTGTTCAGGATGCGATCATACTGGAAATGTGATGGGTGGTGTATTTATTAACGTCTTATCTCTCAGAGTTCTAAATAGTGGAAAACCATTGCCACCAACGGGCCTCCCAGAGCCAACGTCCCTAGCGGTCCTCCTTGAGGTCAGCAGTGCCACCTGAGGCTCTATCAGGGACAGTGGCGCCACGAGATCTTACAGTGGCAGTGCCCCCAGAGGGTCATCCTAGGAACAGAGATCTCAGGCGTGGCACATCCAGGCGTTCTCCCAGGAGCGGTCGTGTCCAGGTGCCTCCTGCGTCCTCAGCTCTAGGAGCTCTCCCAGGGTGTTGGTGCCTCCTGGGCATTTTGGGGCGGTTGCGCCCCAGGGACCCTCCCTGGGGCGGTGGGACCCCAAGGGGCCTTGCATGGGGCGATGGCGCCCCAGGGGGGCCGTCTGGGGCGAAAGTGCTCCCAGGGGCTTGATCGTTATGTTGTTCATATTGAATACGTCCATCAATCCCTGACTTAACTTGTTGGTGGAATAAAGAAAAAATGCACCAAATTACAGCCAATAGGAGAACAGACCAGCCAGTCAGCACAACACCCCAACTTATGTTTTCCTGTTGGATATTTATTCACCATTTCATTGTTCAGGATGCGATCATACTAGAAATGTGATGGGTAGTGTATTTATTTAACGTTATATCTCTCAGAGTTCTAAATAGTGAAAAACCAACTGCCACCAAGGGGCCTCCCAGAGGCAACGGCGCTCCAAGCGGTCCTCCTTAAGGTCAGCAGTGAGAACCTACAGTACCAGGGACGGTGGTGCCGCCAAGGGACCTTACATTGGCGTGCCTCCAGGGGTCATCCTAGGGACAGCGGGGTTCTCCAAGAGGCGTGGCACATCCATGCGTTCTCCCAGGAGCGGTGGTGCCCCAGGGGCCCTCGCAGGGAGACCTGCTCTCCCAGGGGCCCTCCCAAGAGAAGCTACTATTTCATGGACTCTTCCAGTGGCGAAAAAGCCCCATGGGCCCTACTTGGGGCCTCAGCGCTCCTAGGAGCTCTCCTAGGGGTATTGGTGCCTCCTGAGCCTATTCAGGGGCGGTATCGCCCCCAGGGACCCTCCTTGGGGCGGTGGCACCTCAAGGGGCCCTGCCTGGGGCGATGGCACACACAGGGGCTGTCACAGGGCGACGGTGTTCCCAGGGGCTTGATCGTGATGTCGTTCATATTGCATACGTCAATCAATCCCTTACTTAACTGTAATTGGTGGATTAAAATAAAAAAACACCAAATTACAGTTAATAGGAGAACAGACCAGCCAGTCAGCACAACGGCAGACGGCAGGGGGCGCCATTGCCCCTCGCAGGGCCTTAGGTGCCAAAGCCAGTGAGTGTCCCTGGGGGCGCCACCGCCACTGAAAAGCAGGGGGGCACCAACACTCCTGGGAGAGCTCCTAGGAGTGCTGAGGCCCCAAGTAGGACATAAATTGTCATAAGGTTAAGAGGAAGGGTAAACCTAACCTAATCTCACCGACCATAACCCAATGAAAATCTAATATCTGGTAATGATGAAGCAGATGGCTAACACCAAAAGGTGTTGTTCGATGTCATTCATTTTTTCTTAAATGTTCTTTAAATGATAGGAAGTACAATATATCCAAATTATTCTTTCATAGTGTCAATATTTGAAATTTAAGGGGTTTAACTAGTTAAGTACTTTCACACAAACCCTAAATCACCTTAGAAACTACACAGTTAATGAGTAATTAGCATTGAAAAATGTCAGTAAATCTTTCCAAGGGGTCATTTTGGTCACTAATTACTCTGCAATCAAGATCATGGACCACATATTCATCTTCAGCAAGCTCCAGGAGTACCAATACTGTGATTTTCAGCAAAATATCTAATTTTTGGCCCAGGCCACTAAAAAGGTAGTCATGCCTTACAAATTTTTTGGCCATCATAACTTTCTCAAATTGAAATTTAAGAGGTTTAACTAATAAAGATGCTGAGAATAACTTACGAAGCTAAATCACCTTGAAACTGTAGTCGATGAGTAATTAACATTGAAAAATTTCAGTAAGATAACTTTAAGTCATTTTGGTCACTAATTACTCTGCAATCGAATCGTGGACCACATATTCCATATTCAGCAAGCTCCCAAGGGTACCAATACTGTGATTTTCATAAAATCTATTTTTGGCTAAAACCACTAAAAAAGATAGAAGTCTAATGCCTTACAAAATTTTTGGCCAAAATATACTTTTTTCTCAGAATTGAAATTTAAGGTTTAAATAATTAAAGGTAACTTAGAACCTTACCTAAACCCTAAATCACACCTTTGGGAAACCTGGATTGATAAAGAAATTGGCATTGAAAAAATATGATAAAATTATTTTCAAAAAGGGTCATTTTGGTCACTAATTACTCTGCAATCGAATCGTGGACCACATATTCATATTCAGCAAGCTCCAAATTACCAATACTGTGATTTTCAGCAAAATCTAATTTTGGCCGAAAACCACTAAAAAAGAGTAGAATCTAATGCCCCTTACAATTTTTGGCCCAAAATATACTTTTTTCTAAATTGAAATTTAAGGGTTTAACTAATTAAAGTACTTTCAGAATAACACACAAACCTAAATCACACCTTGGAAACCCATAGTTGATGAAAATTAGCATTGAAAAATGTCGGTAAAATCTTTCCAAGAGTCATTTTGATTGCTAATTACTCTGCAATCGAATCGTGGACCACATATTCATATTCAGCAAGATCAGGAGTACCAATATGATTTTCAGCAAAATCTGGTACGGCCGAAACCACTAAAAAGGTAAGTCTAATGCCTTACAAAATTTTGGCCAAAATATACTTTTTCTCAGAATTGAAATTTAGGGGTTTGGCAACTAATTAAGTACTTTCAGAATAACACACAAACCTAAATCACACCTTGAAACTTCCATAGTCAGGTAGATAATTAACATTGAAAGAACGATAATTTTTTCCAAGGGTCATTGGTCACTAATTACTCTGCAATCAGATCGTGGACCACATATTCATATTCAGCAAGCTCAGAATTACCAATACTGTGTTTTCAGCAAAATCTAATTTTGACCCAAAACCACAAAAAGGTAAGATCCTAATGCCTTACAAATTTTTTGGCCCAAAAAATAACTTTTTCTCCAGAATTGAAATTTAAGGGTTTAACTAATTAAATACTTTCAGAATAACACACAAACCCTGAAATAAAACCCGGTTAATAAGTAGTGGTGAATGTAAAATCTTTCAAGGGTCATTTTGGTCACTAATTACTCTGCAATCCAGATCGTGGACCACATATTCATATTCAGCAAGCTCAGGAGTACGAATACTGTGATTTTGCAAGGCAAGAATCCCTAATTTTGGCCCCAAAACCACTGGAAGAACAATCATGCCTTACACAAAATTTTTTTGGCCAAAATATACTTTTTCTCCAGAATTGAAATTTGAGGTTTAGCTAACTAAGTACTTTCAGAGATAACTTTTAAAACCTAAATCACACCTTAGAAACCCATAGTTGATGAGAAATTAGCATTGAGAAAAATGTCAGTAAAATCTTTCAAGAGTCATTTGGTCTAATTACTCTGCGTCAGATCGTAAGACCACATATTCATATTCAGCAAGATCCAGGAGTATAATACTGTGATTTTCAGCAAAATCTAATTTTGACGAAACCACTAAAAGAGTAAGTCTAATGCCTTACAAAATTTTTAGTAAATATGCATTTTCTCAGAATTAATTTGGGGTTTAACTGAAATTAAATACTTTCAGAATAACACACAAGCCTAAATCACACCTTGAAACCCATAGTTAATGAGTAATTAGCATTGAAAAATGTCAGTAAAATCTTTAAAGGTCATTTTGGTCTCTTCAAATTTATATAATCGAATCGTGGACCACATATTCATATTCAGCAAGCTCAGGGTACCAATACTTTTCTTGATTTTTCAGCAAAATCTAATTTTTGGCTGAAGCACTAAAAAGGTAAGTCTATTGCCTTACAAAATTTTGGCCAAATATACTTTTTCTCAATTGAAATTTAAGGGTTTAACTAATTAAATATATTTAGCAGAATAACACACAAACCTAAATCTTTACCTTGAAACCCATAGTTAGCTGAGTAATTAGCATTGAAAAAATGTCAATAAGAATTTTTAAAGGGTCATTTTGATCACTAATTACTCTGCAATCGAATCGTGGACCACATATTTCATATTCCAGCAAGCTCAGAATTACCAATACTGTATGTTTTTCAGCAAAATCTAATTTTTTGGCCCAAAACCCACTAAAAAGGTAAGTCTAATGCCTTACAAAATTTTTGGCAAAATAT